TGAAAATCAAAACAGTTGTGAGATATCTCACTCCAGTAAGAATAGCAAAATTTAGCAGAACAGAAAGCATCAAATGCTGGCGAGGTTGTGGAGAAACTGGAGCCCTTATTCACTGTTGGTGGGAGTGTAAAATGGTACAACCTCTATGGAAGGCTGTATGGCGCTTTCTCAAAAAGTTGCAAATAGAGATACCATTGATCCAGCAATTCCACTACTGGGAATGTACCCTAAAGAAACCATAACAGCCACCCAAGCAGATATATGCACACCCATGTTTATCGCGGCTTTGTTTGCAATACAAAGAGCTGGAAACTACATTAAGTGCCCATCAAAAAGTGAATGGATAGAGAAGCTCTGGTATATTCACACAATGCAATACTATGCAGCATTGAAAATAAGGAACTTGTGAAATATTATGCAAAATGGATGACCCTGGAGGACATTATGCTGAGTGAAATATCCCAGTCACAAATGGACAAATATTGCATAGGGCCACCGTTGTAAAATGGGATTGACATCAGTGTTGAGGGACAAAAGAAAAGGAGGGGAGGAATGATGTATATTGCATTGAAACAAATGAGAGAGAGGACTGTATAAAAGGGATATATGAATGGGTATTCTTGTCATTTCAGAAGTCCATATTGAAGGCTGCATAGTGAAGTAGACTTGGGGGGAGGGACTACATAACAATGAAAGAGTTTTTCTTTCTTTTCAAGGAGAAGAGTGAATTGGGGGCAGAGGGTGGGTAGGAAGAAGTGTGCAACAATGAATGACTGGAAACCCTAAGTTTCTGTAAACTTTCATTAAAATTAATTTAAAAAATAAAAGGTCATGGCACCAAGAATGTTATTGCGGATGTCAGTTGGATCCTAGCTGAAAGCAGAGACTAGAAGAATGTCTATTTATTGACTATGCAAAAGTACTTGACTGTGTTCATCATAAACTATGGCTAACATGGAGGAGAATGGAAATTCCAGAATTCTTAATTATACTCATATGAAACCTATACTTTGACCAAGAAGCTGCTGTTTGAATGGAATGAAAGGCAATTGAATAGTTTAACATCAATTAGGGCATGTGGAAGAGTTGTATCCTTTTTCCATACTTGTCCAATCTGTGTGCTGAGCTAATTATTTGTAATCTGGACTCCATGAAGAAGAATGTAGCACCAAGTTTGGAGGAAGACGCATCAATAACCTTTGTTATGCAGATAACACTACCTTGCTTGTACAATGTGAGGAGGACTTGAAGCAGTAGTTTGCAAAAGATCAAAGACTACAGCCTTCAATATGAATTACGTCTCAACATCAAGAAAATAACTCACAACTGTGTCAATAGGCAACATCAAGACAGATGAAGAAAAGATGGACGTTGTCAAGCCTTCTTTTTACTTGGGTACACAGTC